AGGAAATACTTGATGAGCAGGTAACCTACATACGTGCAGTGTGGACTTTTAAATGTGTCCCGGTACTTGTGTGTAACAGTGCCTGCAGGATGTTGGACATAGAATGCTACCTCGTTTTTGTCGGCCGTTTTATAAAGAAATATGTATTGGTGATCATCACATTGGGGATTGTATTGTAGAATACCAATACATGTATTCACTACCTAGTGGATGGCATACACACGTCAGTACTTAGTCACTCACACACACGCACACACACACACACACACACACACACACACGCACACACACACACACACATGCGCGCGCGCGCGCAAACACACACACACACACACACACATGCACGCATGCGCGCGCGCGCGCACACACACACACATACATACATACATACATACACACACACACATGTGCGTGTACACGCACAAACACACACACACACATGCGCATGCGCACACACACACACACATGCGCGCACGTGTGCGCACACACACACATACACACACACACAAACACACATACACACACTGTACTCTTGCAACTATGCCTTGCTGGCATGTAACAATAGGCCCACCTACGTCATGTTGGCAACCGAGAGACAGTGAGTGAGTGAATGAATGCGCTTTGCCGTTACTTTGCGTCGTAGTACCTCCGTGCAGCTGATCAGTCAAGTTGGTTTACTATCTGTATGTACAGCTCTCAAGTGCAACCCGAGTCGGCAGTGTGCCAGCAGGGTCTATGCACCCTGACTGGCCTGGCTGTTCTGCTCAAGGATATGACGCTGGCAACCGCAGCATTGGTGGAGCTGAGGAAGGCAAACATGACCGGTAGGAGCTCTTATTATCACCCTTAGTGTTCACTCATGCTGCAGTTACTGTAGAACGGGTAATTTTAGCGACGTAAAAACCCTAGCGAATTTAGCGATCGACTCATTTTCGCTAAAGTTTCAAGTCGTTAATCCATTGAGACGTTAGTAGTACACTGATGATCCGTGAGTACAATGCAGTACTACATCATAGTACATGTAGTAGTAGTACTACTACCGGTAGCAGCACAGCCTACACTAGACCACAGCCTACACTAGACCACAGTCTACACTACACCACAGTCTACATGTTCTACAGTTGCACAGTGACAGTGTGAACTCACAACAACATCCACACAACGTGCCAAATACTAGTACCGTAAAGTACCGCCAGAGCGCCCCACCATCTCGTCCTTTCGTGGCCGCCTTGTGGAGGTGGATTTCTGTCTGTAGGTCATACGACACGGACCTTATACAAACATTGCAGATTGTGCAGTCAATACGTACCCAGTTTACCTTGGAGCTCCACATAAAAGCATACCAAGTGTGACCTTAGTACACGAAGGTTCTCACATCGTACAAACTTAGTAGCATTCTGCCATACGATTTTCTACCCTTGGCTGTAAAATCAAGGTGGGGCGCTCTCGCGAGACGGGGCGCTCTGGCGGTACTTTACGGTACTAGTATTAGGCCAAGTAAAATAAAATCCCAGTTTATCGTCCTTTTTTTCACAAAAATCGGGGAGGGAGGGCGGATTTTATTTTTATTTTTTATTTTTTGATGTGCTACAGACTAGTATAGTTCTTGGTAAACAATGACACATCATGTGCAACAATCTGCAACAGAATAGTGGTAGTGTATGGAATACACAATGCTATAACAGTTATATGTACATAAACAATTACATGCAAAATCTTTGGATCGACAGATTGTCACTCCACTCATAAGACACAAACCCCAATACTGTTTGGTTCACACAGACCACCAGATAAATGATAGAAAGCTGCAGAAGGGAAAGAACCAGTCAGGACAGTAACCAATAGTCAGTCATAAAGGGAACATGTTGACGAAGCTGTGTTTTCAAGCCTTAAGCGGGATTCACAGAAGCTTTTTTGCGATGCGACACGCGATGCGACGCGATCTGCGATGGATGCGTGCGATGCGAACTCGCGAAATACCATTCACAGAAGAAGTCAGCGATGCGACAAAGTTTTGCTGATTTGAGTACGTCACCATGATATTCGCGCGGTTTGACACAACTTGTAAAAATTTCAAGGCAACTCTTGCACCTTTGTACAACTTTGCTGTAGAAAAGGTCAAAATCGTACACCAAATCGCTTGTCGCATCGCATCGCATCGCAAAAGTTGAGCCAAGCTCAACTTCTGCGATGGCCTGCGATGGCCCTGTTGCGGCAGTTGCGTGGGGTCCGCGATGGTTGCGATTTGGGGATTTCCCGGTTTCGCGGCTGTCGCATCGCGTGTCGCATCGCAAAAAAGCTTCTGTGAATCCCGCTTTAGCCGACGTAAAAAATCAAGCTTTTTGGCAAAATTCTAGATTTAAAAAATAAAAATAAATTCCGGGCGGCCTCGAAAAATGGGGCGGGCGGGGACGATAAACTAGGATTTTTTTTACTTGGCCTAATAGCAAGAGCCCATAACCCCCAGAGTGTGCAACGCCACATAAATGTCTGTCGCGACTCGTTTTCAACATTACACTCATACCTCGGTTATCCGGACTTCGAAGTTACGGGCACTTCGGTCTACCGGGCACTATTTGGGCGAGTTTCAGGGGAAATATTACTACTCTTTTGTCACTTTTCGTAGAAATACTGACGTCATATGCCATATCGATGGCCTTTTCCCCATCAAGATGTATATGATTCGGAGTTACGGGCACCCTCGAAGTTACGGGCAGTGTCCGGTCCCGAAGCGCCCGGATAAGAGAGGTATGAGTGTACATCATTTTCATGTAGCTGCGCGTGCAGGCCGCGACATTCGCTACATGAAAATGTACATGAAAATGACGTAATGTTGAAAACGAGCCGTGACAAGACCCTATCGCGCGTTGAACACTCTTGGTTATGGACTCTTGGTATTAGTAGTAAATAAATACTGGTATAATCAAATCATCCGAATCCAAATCATTCTAGTGCCTTTTTCAACGCGACAATGTCTCTCCAAAGTTGGTTGAGAAAAGCTGCTTCTCCAGTTGTTGATCCTTTTCTCCCTGATCCCGCTGACGAGCCGACGCAGGAGAAACGAAATGAACTAGCTGCTGTCAACAAGGTAGTGGCGAAAACTGTTGATGCGGATGTTGACTAATTTCCCCTCTTTCCTGAACCACGCTGTCAGCACACACTGCCCAAAGCAACCACAGGTCTGAGGGTAAAATAAGTCTAAAATGGGAAAGCAGTATACGCTCGGAAAAGTAATCAATGCACGAAGACGAGAGAGGAAAGAGTTCATCACCGGCCAAACATCTCACCGCGGTCTAAACGCAACTAACTTAGATAACGAAAAGGAAGAGGATATAGTCGTAAGCCATGGAAGCATTGACCTATCAGAGCATTCCGCGTAACCGGCTCACAAAGGTGTGCCATCTAATGTATGGTAGTTCCTCGAACAGTTTCTACGCCGGAGGAAGAAAAGCACCTCTAAACTATGTGGGCAGTCATACATGCAAATGAGAACAACAATGAGTCAGCGGCTAGCGGCAGCTACAGCATCTAATGTATTGGCAACCACTGACACAAGGTTTCGGAGAGACCTTCTAGAAAGAACCAAAGCGTCTCATCATAACGTGTAAACACAGCTTCTAACAGCCACATATACGCAGAGTACATTGCTGCTGAGTCAAACACAGCTGGCAGGCACTGTAGCCTAGGATGATCACCCTCATTATTATGATTATGCAATGTGTACTACAGAAGTAACTTGTAATCATCCAAACCACAGAATACACTAAAACTAGCACTGTTGGCATGTGACCTGCAGGTACTGCACGTTCCTATTAGTACAGAGTACAGAGCTGGCTGGAAGTACAGTCACGCAATTCCACAACACCCCATCACCAGGTGACATGAGGGGAATTAATCAGCATAGCGAGTAGGAACACGAATGTTACCTCGATCACGCAGGCCATACCTTGGTTCACCAGCCGCAATAGAGTCCGACCAATCAATTCCACCAACACTGTCGTCCTCTCCCTGGTCATCTTCCACTGGCACGTCGTTTTGCTCACGACGCGTGACATCAGGTTTCAGGAGGGCTATGTTGACGGTCTTCATCAGCTTGTGGTTCGACATCCTCCGAATCCTGACTGTTGTCGGCGCTATAACTGCTGGGACTTCCCAGCCACTTTCGAAAGGCGCCAGGCACTTCTGGTGACGACTAGGCCGTCGTAGCATCACGCGGTCACCAACACTGAACGGACAAGGCAGCCTGGGCTCTTCAACGAAGTCTCGGTCGGACAGCTCTTCCTCGATGAGATCACGCGCACGGGCCGATCTTTCCGCTAGTTTCGTTGCCCACTCACTCATCATACAGGCTTCCTCAGTCGCGTCGACAATCAGCCGTCGTGGCTTCCACCCAGACATCGCTTCCATGGGCGTCAGGCCGGTTGCTGCATGGGGGCGATTGCAATAATGGTACATCAGGATGCCAAGCTCTTCCTTCCACGCCTCGGACTCATCCAAGCACTTCCGTACCAGGCCCAGCAAAGTCCGGTTGAACCGCTCAGCAGATCCTTGGCTCTGAGGGTGACGAACAGCTCCGGACCGAACACGCACGCCAAACAACCGGAACAGTGACTCCACAATGGCATTGGCAAATTCGGTACCGTTATCAACTCGTACGACGTCTGGCGCTCCCCATCGTGTGCACATATCCGTGAATGCTGCTGCCACTGACGATGCATCGTGACGACGAAGAGGTGTTACCTCTACCCATTTGGTAAACGAGTCCACTGCGACGAGGACACAATGATAATGACCGCTGTGATCCAGGCCAAGCTCCAGTGTGTCTAAGACAACTTCACCCCACGGTCGGCCAGGAACATCAGCACGAGTAGGCGAAACCGGCGGCCCAGCTACAGGGTTAGCTGCTTTGCAGCGGACGCACTGCTCGACGAAACTAGTGCAGGCTGTAGCTATTCCAGGGAAGTAACACTGCTGCCGAATCAAGGCATACATGGTCTGCCACGAACCATGCCCGGACACATTGTGCGCTGCCTGAAGAACATCTGGAACCAAGCCATCTGGGATAACTGGCACTTGCACGACTCCACCGACCATGAGCTTGACACTCCGGTACAACACGCCGTGCTCCACGACGAGCTGCTTCCGTACTTTCGAGTATGCCGCCGTCACTGGTCGATCTTCGGCTATCTGTGAAACGACTGCTTGAATCTCCTTGTCGGCCAGTTGGGCTTCAGCGACTTGCTCCACACTGACTGGTCCAACAACCGATTGAGTCGTAACTGCCACCACCTGGTCCTCCTTCTGCGATAGAGACTTGCCATGCTGAATCCAAGTATTCGGAACTCGGGTGAGGGCATCGGCTGGATTCTCGTGCGACGGAACCCACTCAACCGAAACAGTCATGCCGGTGGTGTTGATTAGATCAACGACAATCTGCAACCGTCGCTGGACGAGGGTATCGTACAGGCCTTTGGTCCTCACACGTCTCACATTGCCGATGACGTCGCTGAGCCAGCTGGCTACAGACTTTGAATCTGTCTTGAGGAGGACACTCTTACACTTCCAGTGCTCCGCGAGCGATAAACCACGGATGGCCGCCTCGAGCTCCACGATGTTGATGTGCCGCTTGTCGGTCAAGGGTCTAAGCCACGACCGGTCTTCAACCACCGCACCACCAATCTGCACCACCGCTGCGAGACCCACATCAGACGCATCCGTCCAGACAACACCTTCAGACGACTTGCTCTGCCACAAGCCGTGCGCCGGGTCACCATCACCAGAGACCTTCGCCTGCAGCTCTCCGCAGAACTTGAGCAGGGCAGGA